TATGGAGGTAATAAAATAGGCCGCTGCCCTTCCCCCTGTTGAGTGTTACTTCAAAGTTCCACATCGGTGGGATAGGAAAATTGAGGAGGGATTGAAGCCTATAAATAAAGAAAATATAGGCTTCCATCACACAACACAATCCTTCAATCTATATAATTGTATTAGATTTTAGGTTGTGAGTGTCAAATATTAGAGAGAATTTGTAATTTTTCCGTGCAAAATTACTAGTGAGATTTTATCCCAGAAGGGATCGTGGAGTAGGTCTTGTGTGCTCTTTTTCTTTCCTTTCCATTTGTTTGCAGTAGGGGGACCTAACACCCCCAATCGCACAAAACCAATCGCCATCTTCACAAGTTCACATCGCCTTCTTCTTCCGGTTCCGATCGCCAATGGACAGGTATTCCGATCGCTGGCAATTTTCACTTTTTTTCGGAATTTGCTCTGCTCTTCAATTCCGCCATAATCGGTGCATGGTTATTATTTTTTTGTTTCAATTGTGATCGCCGTCTGCTCCTTCGCTGCTCAATTCAGATTTTTTTCATCTACATAGTTTCATTTTTTATCAGTTTCCAGCTTTCTTTCACTTTTTTTTTTCAGTTTTCGTTTTTTTCTTGTTTCCTTTTTGTCAGTTTTCGTTTGTTTCAGTTTTCCTTTTTTTTTTCACTTTTTTTGTTTCTAGTTTTCAGTTTATGTTTCTTTTTGCTTCGTGATATATGCAATATGGATTATGCTACGTGTACCCCAAGGTTTGTACCCCAATTTGTACCCCGCAGTTTTGCACCAACACTTTGTGCTGGTGTAAAACTAATTTTTGTTAAACGCACCAACATTTGTGTCCGTGTGAATATTTATTAACGCACCAACACTTGTGTCGGTGTAAACCATCGAAATGTTTGTGCAAGCCTGTGGTGTACAAATGTGGTATATTTTTTGGTGTAAGTCTAGCATGGTCCATGGAATATACTCCCCCGTCCCAAAAAGATTAACACCTTTCAAAAAAATTGCGTCCCACAATCTCTTATCCATTTCTATTAAAAAACCACTTTTACACCTTATTTTTTCAAACCCTACCTATCACATCATACATTTTTCCTAATAATCTACACATCATATCCTACTTTTACCCATCACATCAAAGGTATTTTTGGAAAGTCAACACAAAATTATCCTTCCCTTAATTCCAACTTTAGTCAAAATGTAAAAATCTTTTTAAGACGGAAGTAGTATAAATTATATGAACATTGGAGTATAGTTTTTTAAAAAGAAATTAGACATTTGATCACTTGAACTTGTATTGCTGCAAAAGAGTCATTAGAATTGATGCAAAAATAATTTTGTATATATATTTACGTACGCATATAAAAGTCCGTACAAAAGAATACTCCGGGTATAATGTGAAAGGTAATTTCATATAAATACATTCTAAACAAATAAAGAAAAATAATCACAAGGATATTTTAGTAATTTAATTTTTTTTCTTACCTCACGTTACCTAATAAACATCTAAACACAATTTTTTAACTCATTACTTTACTTTACCTACCTTTAATTACCTACCATTACCTACCTAATAAAACTTTTACCTACCTCTAATCAAACATACCCTAATGGAGATTAGAAATAATAATCCTCGTCGTTCAGGAGTAATGGGATTAGCACCATAAAAAGTAACCCAGCCGTGATCATCACCAACCATAATCTCTTTAGTCCACCCAATCTTATATTTAATCCATATAATTAATTTATCTCAGTCAACTCGGCCCAGAAATTGACACAGACAAAATAATACTACTTCCGTTTCAGAGTATTTGTCCACTTTCATTTTTACACACCATCCAATGTACTTCTTTAATTCATTTTATCTTGTAATTTGTATATTAAAAAATTATAAAAATTATATATCAATAATCTATATGTTAAGACAAATCAAACAAGATCACACATGACTATTTTAGGCTTACACATTGAGAGAATTTGATGAGTCAAAGTGCTTAGATGAACAGTTTCAAAAATTAAAAGTGGACGAATATACCGGGACGGAGAGAGTAGATGATAAAGCCTTACCTGCAGAAATAACAGAATTGAAAGAGCACAGTGTGGTTCTGATGTAATTAAGGGAAGTAATGAGTAAAAGAGAATCGATTCGGATCCCTAAGACAACCTACTGATTTTGATACGGCTGGACTATAACTTATATATCCCCACACCGGAAATTCACATTTAAAAAAACCCGAATAGAAAGATGAATGAAAGAACTGGGCAAGATTGAATTGGATTCAAAGGGTTTAGTTGGGCACGTTACCCCGAATTACAGTCAAATTGGTTAAATATAAAAATTTGTTTAATTAGTCTTCATTGTTATTCAGGAGCAGCGTAGCGCTACTAAAATTCGTTATGTATGAAAGATTTTTTTTTTTTTTGAAAAAAAGAAAAAGAAAATTTGGCAAAAATTCTAAGGAAATTGGAAGAATATAACTATTATAAGATCGCTCAATTAAATTCTCATCCAAATTGATGGGTATATCCTTATACCCGATCCGGACAACCGAAAGGGACAGATCAAAATATGACCGGTCACTTTTATCAATTACCAAATGAAGTTAACTCTTCGATTGGGACGGGTCAAAAGTTAACCGGTCACTTCCACTAAAAAAGTGACCGGTCACATTTTGGGCGATAGCCAAAATTTCACCTAATGTTGTGAAGAATTCAAGAAGACCAAACAGACGGGTTGAGCTCAAGAAATGACCGGTCAACCTTTGAGAAAAAGGTGACCGGTCATATCATCTTACTTGACAAACATTGGTCCAGTATCTCAGGCATGGTGAACCACGTCAAAGATCGAGGGACCACCCCGCCGTTCGTCCATCACAAGAGAAACAGTAAAAGGGATGTTTGTCACTTTGCAGGGCTGATTGGATTGAGAATATCCATCTATAGTCTTTGATTGAACAGTATATGTCTTGGCTTATAGTTGCTAAATTCTATGATTGTACAGTGCTTCCATTATCTACAGTGACCTTCCCACGAGCTTCCTATTTTGTCAATGGATGAACAGGGGAGGGTTACAAATCCTCCTCTATAAATATGATGATATTTGATAGAGGAGGGGATCCAATTTTTCTCTCACTAAAGTTCACTCTTGAGATAGAGTAAGAAATATAATTCGGACTGAGGAGATTTACCCAGTCTAGGTTATACTTTGTGTTCTTGTTGTGTGTTTTATATTACGGGTCGAGTGTGTCCAGGTCAAACCCGGTTAACCCACCCCGCTATATTTACATCATCACAAATGAACAGAGGCAGCTCAATAGGGGAACAAACAGTTCATCCGGATCGGGCTCAAAAATTCATTTACTCTTGTTAATGGTTAGTGCATCCACCGTTGAGATAAATAGTACTCCGTAAGTCTTTACTAAAAAAATCCATAACTAAAATTATAAAAAGAGAACAAAAATATTCTAAGAGATTTCCCATTCGAAAAGGGCATTTCCCTGAGATATTATCCCTAAAGAAGTATGGAGTAGATCTAAGAACGAACATTTGATTTGATGAGCGTAAGCCTTCTTTTATACTCATTCCGTTTATCAAAACCCGTTCACTTTTATTTTTATTCCTTTTTCAACATTACACTTCTATTTTATATTAAAAAATCATGTTTACTCATATTTTTTCTTTTACTACCTATCAAATCATTCTTTTTCACTAATGATCTATTCATCACATTTTACTTTTACTTATCAGGATAAAATTGAAAAGTCCATTATAAATATACACTCTTTATTTCTCCCATTAATTAAAATAGGAACCTTTTTACTGAATAGAGAAAGTATCGTTTTCGGATGCATCTTAGAACCCAAAATAGGTGTGGGAGAGTTGTTGGATTAAATTCACTATCAATCGAAGTAAACAAACGTTTACTAACTGCGGCTCAAGTAAATGACCATCATTTTGGTGAGACTAAATTTCCAAAATGGTCCTTTGTAATAAGTTATTTATAATAATAATAATAATAATAATAATAATAATAATAATTATTATTATTACTCCCTCCGCCCGGAATTAAAGTTCCCAGTTTGATTTTTCCTCATTTTTAGTGAGGGTTGACTACTTTATTAAAATGTCCAAATTACCTTCCTATTTTATAACGCCAATTTCGGTTTACGATGTTTAACTGAAATTATTTTCAAATCATTTTATATGACAAATGGTATAGAGTTAAAAAATAAAAATTACATATTAAAATACTAAATCAAAAGATCTACAAAACTAGTAGTGACAATAGTATTTTATTTTGTCAAATTGCTAACGAAAATAGAGAAAGAAAGTGAATGAAGTTTGACCCTGTGAATAGTGAACATGCATTATAATTTCGGACGGAGGGAGTATTTCAAAATGATCATGGAATAAAATGATAATCGAAATAGTTTTGATTAGTAAAGACTAAAATAACAAATGTCAAATCAATGAACTAATTAATGATACATCACCGATGTTTAACCCCGTGCTTCGCATAGACTGGTATTGTATGCACTCGTTACATTGAAGGTATATTTTGGGAACACTACTACAAAAAAGACTTTTTAAATTGGTTATTTTGACCCTTTTAAATCGGTTTTTAACCGATGCAAATGCTCAGGTTACTTTTTGCATCGGTTGTAAAACCGAAGCAAAAGCTTCTTCCCAGAAATGGCGCCAATTTCAGAAAAAGGCTTTTGAATCAGTTATTACCAAATAACCGATTCAAAAGCCCTTTTGGCATTTCTGGGAATAGACTTTTGAATCGGTTATTAGCAGATAACCGATGCAAAAAACAAATTTTTTTCAAATGAATTTTTTGTTTGCTCCCGATCCACTACATTTTCAATTTTGCACAGAATTCTGTGCAAAATGTACAGATTCAACAATAACAACAAATTCAACCCATCAACACAACAACAACTAACACAAACTAATAACAAGCACAAATACATTCCCAAAACTCAAATGCCACAAAACAAATTAAACCAAAAAAGTAACATTTGCATCCACCACTTGTACATCTTAAAAAATACCAAGAGTAAAACAACTACTTTTCTAAGTTTTAACAACACAAGCATGTATCTTCTTGTAGCCCTCATCCATTGGAGACATCATTTTATTTGCCTCATAAGTGGACGATGGCAATTCGTGTCCATCTGGAAGAAGTTCACCCAACAAACTTAATAAAGACGTGAAACTTTTGTCACTCCACCCATTTGCTACTTTTAAATTGAACAATTCCAAAACCCCCTTCAAACGTGTAAACTTTGTACAACCAGGATACAACAGGCGTTTTGAGCTTCCTAGTAAGCTCTCATACATATTACGCTCTTCATCAATGACGACTTGATCAGGATGAACATCTTGAGTGGCCCCTAACTCATCTTCCATTTCAACCTCAAGATTGTGGATGTCGTGAATATCATCCTCGACTTGTTCATTATGAGTATAGCTAGAGCTGCAAGGATTTTCTAACTCTGCATGCCATTTCCATCGCAGGTATGTTGGGTCATAACCCTTGCGATACACATGTAATCTTATACCTTTAACGCTATCAACCACAAAATAGTTGTGACATGAGTTACAAGAACAATATAGCTTTTTTCCTTCTTTTGAATGTTTCTCTTTTGAATGTATGCATAACATACCCCACGCTCGTAATGGGAACGGAAACACATGGATGGCAGAAGAATTACGTGATTCCATTGCAAAGGTCATGTGGGAGGATTATATTACTCATACATAGCTTTTGTAAAACTTTTTTATGTTATGATTGACTTATAATGGTGTATGTATTTAAACTTACTATGTGCAACATTCTTTTTTGGATTGTAAATTTTATATAACTATTGAATATGTACCTTTTGAATCGGTTATTAGGAATAACCTATCCAAAATCTAAGCGGTACGCGAATGTTTTTTGCCAGTTACATCGTTTGTTTTGCTTAACGATGCAAATGGGGAGATTTATTTGGTCGTTTTTGTAGTAGTGGAAGATAATAAACTTCACTAATCAACATCCTCCATAAATAGTTAAATGGATGAGAGGAAAGAAAAGTCTCTTAGAAAATCTATATGTAATTCAAGCAATAAAACACGTAAAAAATACAAAGTAGTAAATTGGGATTACCCCTTTAAGTTCAATGGCTCTTAACATCTTCCATCCTTATTATAATATAGTACTGTATGAATTGCATCGGATCGTTCCACCGATTTCCCTTTTCAGATTTGATTATGTTGAGCACATTACTTCTAAGATCCCCTTTGCACACTCGAGCTGCAGGGTTGAATCCCCCTTTGCACACTCGAGCCACCACCATGACCGTTCTACCTAAGGTTTAAATATCCAAGAACCCTAAATGCAAAATATCTTAAAATGCAAGTATATGTGTTTTTTAAAACACTAAAAATAATAAAGTCAAGTTAAGCAATAAAAAATTAACTTTGGAGCTTTATATGCAGTTTTATGCTAGATATCAAATTTCATAATCGGATTTTGAACCGAATTCACATTTAGTGCAAAATGCAGTTTATATGAATAAAATTCAGATTGAAAAAAAACTTGATATATGTTTCTAAATGAAGCTCCTATGCAAATTTCATCAACAAAAGTTCCAAATTCAGCAAGAATCACTTCACATTTTCTAGAAAATCAGCAAGCGATCATGTTAAAATTTAGATTCAACAATAAACATTGACAGTTCAGCAAAGAAGCACTTCTAGAACACAAACAGCATGCAAATCGGCACAAATAGTAAATTTTTTTCTTCAAAACAGCTTGTTTGAATCCAAAATCTTTTAGAACTAAGCACCTAATGCCTCATGATAGAGATATGTGCTCTTAGTTCAATCTAAATGCATATTGCAGTTTGGTAAAAATCTCTTTAGAATAAAGTCTAGGAAACTAACCTGCCTGTTGCAGATTGCAGTTTTGCCCGTCTTCTTGGGCAACCCGTTCCTAAAAGCCCTCAAGTAAACCAAGGTCAATTCAATTAGTGCAATAGGACCCAGTAAACTATCTCTTAGCCGAACCCCGTCTTCTTGGGTTTCCCAGTTTGCTTTTCCTTGGCCACATCAAAGATGCTCGTGCAGCTATAGGCAGGTTCAATAACTCATGAGACTACAATTAGAACAACAAAGAGTAATTTAGCATTGGGTGCAGAGAATTGATATGCTAAAGCAAAATATCCAACCCTTACTTCAAAAGAGTCTTCAAAATGAAACCTGGGAAATTTTATAATTAAACCTTGTTTATTTGATGTTCTTTTGAATATGTTTAGGTAGTTACTATGCAATTTGGATGGTCAAAATTAACTAGCCTCCATTAGAAAGGCCGTAACTAATTTGCCGCCCAGGAGTTCCAAAAGGCTATGACTGAAGATAGAAATGTTACAACCAATACAGAGTATGATCTTGTAAAAGGGTATGGAAACAATTGGAAGGCATAAACTAAACATACATTGATAAATTCCTGATTAAAGAGCAAAGACAGTCTCGGCCTCAAAATCTGGTCCCACATATCCTACCAGTTGAAGTCCCCTCTGCATAAAAGAACCCTAATTTGAGCTCACTTCGCTCTTAATTTTCATAATTAATGCAGAAATGGATTGAAAATAAGCGCGGCTTACCTAATTTCGAACTATGATTTTGCTGGGGTGTTTGAATCTGTAGTCAGGAGAAGAGAGGTTGTGTGGTCCATGGGAAACCCTGTATAATTACAGGATAACTGCAATACATTATGAGCAAAATTGAAAAAAGAATTATCAAAAATGAATCTAAGAAACTTAATTGGGTAAGGGGTGGTGGTTTCTTCTCTATTCGTTTGCGTCAAGAGCAACAAGAGCAATAATCACAAAAAGTGAGGAATTTGATATTCTACTACGTGACATTTGATAAACATGTGCCTTGTTTATATACCCACCTGTCAAATATACAATTAGATTCTCCAACCCGTGGGGTGTGAAAGAAAACAAAATCTATCATTCAGTTGCATTCTAGTTCACAGCATTGAAGTCGACTTCACAGTAAATGAGTTAAAATCCTGAAAATGCTGATATTGATTTCAGATACAACCATAAAATTTAGCTATATTAGAGAAAAGTAAAGACATTAAAATCAAGAACCTTTAGCAAAACCATCTAAACAGAGTTCAGTGCTTACCTGGAGGACAACATCAGTGGAGGATAATGCAAGACCATTCCCAATAACAATTGTTGCAGGACTGTGTTGTTCAGCAACAACATAAGTTACCAAGCCAATCACTACAACTATCACCAATAGCTACACTTGCTTGTGCATATAAAATATTGTCTTTAAGGCAGAATGGCAACATATAACAATTTACATAACTTAAGACATTCTAAACCAAAAATACACTTTTTCATAAAACCTAACGTCTCCCCAAAAAAACAAATATCAAAAGACTTGTCATTTCAAATGGTTAAAAACTAACATAGAATAGTAAGTAAAAGTCTTTATTTCCTATCTTTACAAATGCTACCTTGAGGCCAAGTACTAAGTAGTAAGAATACAACTCCAAAATCATTTATTGCCTTGGTTCCATGTACATTACGAATAATACAAAGGGAATAAAGACTAATCAAGATTCCAGCAGCCAGGTGTTTGAGAATGGGACTTAAATGAGCTATAAAATGTGGTCCATTGCAATCTTGGTTCCAAGATTGACCATTTCCTCTATTTTCTCAAGTAAACTTTTTTTCGTGTTTAGAACAACCATTGGTTCTAAAATAGGGCATAAATTAAAAGGGTAATTGGACAATTTTTCTATAAACTTCAGTTTGGTAGAAATATAATCTTTAATATTAATATTATCATGACTTGGGCAAAAACCAAATATTTGCAAGCTCTTAGAAGTGCTCATTCACAAACTCAATTTTTATTTCATCACGACTTTGGAAAAAATCCGAAAAAGTTCTCTAGTTCGAAAGATGGAAGAGTTTTTGCCCAAAACGGTCTAAATTACTGAAAATATAAATTTTCTAACTACATGTGTTTTGTTTAGTAAAAGTTTTAATGAATCATAAAAATATATTTGAAAACTAAAAAAAAGGGAGGTGAAGTTTGGAGGTGGTTTCGAGATGTAAAAAACCAAATATGACCCCTGATACCCGAGTTCGACCTTAAAACTATCTCCTTCCATTTGGAAAAGCTCAAGCTGAAAATATATTTGGTTGCCGCATCTGAAGTTTGGAGGTGGTTTTCAGAGGCTTCGAAATAGAATCAGCAATCATTGAAACAAAGTGCTAGAAATATAAAATTAATTAAAAAATAGAGGAAGAGTAAGACCTAAAGGTTGCTCTTATTGACTCATACACTGCTTCAGCTTCAAACGAATACTTCCGGGACAGAACTCCATTGCCAGCCAGTGTCATCAAGTGCTCCAATCGCCATCATCGTGCCCTCCCACAAAAGAAAATTAAAAAAAATTGATAAAAGAGTTCAATGTAGACCCTAGAAACTGTGGGAGTTCATCTATTTTATCACAATTTGAAACTAAATTATGGAAATTGAGATGAAAATTGGGAGGCCGGGGCGCCATATATCTTGAAATACCTATATATATATATATATATATATATATATATATATATATATATATATATATATATATATATATATATATACTTTCTAACCCTAGTTGTTGGGAGCTTGAGATGATATTTTGGAACCTGGCTATCTTGAACCTCAAACGGAGAAAGTCGCGATCGGAGGTCGCCGGTGTTTAGGTGTCGTCGGCTCTGAGGTCGAAATATAACACAAGCTGAATTCGATCACAAGCGGAAAATCACATATAAAAAAAAAGAGAATCGATTCAGATCACGATTGAAATAACAGAAACCCAAATACAATAACGAAAATATTCCCACACCGGAAAATCACATATAAAAAACCCAAATACAAAAACGAAAGAAATAACAATGCACGATTGAAGCGGATTCCATGGGTTATGTGGGGTATTCTTGATCTTGAGTGGTTATCAAGAATACTTTAACAAATAGTGTAGTTAATCTTCATTCTCACCCCACTCCGGATCAAGATATCCTACAGAAATCAAGAATACTTTAACAAATAGTGTAGTTAATCTTCATTCCCACCCCACTCCGGATCAAGATATCCTACAGAATCTAAAAGATTTTTTTTTTCTTCGAAAAAAGGGAAAAGTTATTTTTGGAAAAATAACTTTCTGAATAGATTTAGGGGCTGTCTGTCAATTTATTTCTGAATAGGTAAGTGCTGAACTAATAAGAAGCCTGAATCAGTAAAATGTCTGAACCATTAAGAAGAGCTAGTATATTGCTTAACTATTCAATTTTCACCTTTTTTTTCTATTTGCTCTGCTCTTCAATTCCGCCACAATCGGTGCATAGTTAGCTTTTTTAGTTTCAATTTTGATCGCCATCTACTCCTTCGCTGCTCAATTCAGATTTTTTTAAGTGCTTATTTTTGTTCTGCTATGCTCTTCAATTTCTATGGCCATTGCTCACTTT